ATAGTAAGTAAGAAAACCTATAATGAGTCTTGCCTTTTTCTTATCTACCATACTCAAATTGAATGCATCATTCTGTATATGGTTTAGAGTTCTCTAAGATGTAGAAATGCTGAGAACATTACAAAAGGTATGCATTCGTATTCTCAACTTTTCCTATGCTCTACTTCTCCCGAATTCAAGGCTAAAGAGGCTTAAAAAATGAGATTGTGACAAAATGCTAACTCCAACATATTCAGACATTCCAAAACCTGAAACTAGTAGGTTTGAAGCCAGCTAGGTTTTAGCATTTTCCTGTCTATCTTTTCTCAAGTAAATCTTCATGATGTTGTTTCCTGTAAGGACTGTTACAATGAGATACACTCCTCTGTCCAATTTTGTTAGACTATTATGATGCTATTTCTGCAATTTTGTATCATGTCACAGTGGCTTCTCTGAGTATATGACAAAAATGCATCTTGACCCCATAGGAAGAAAATTGGCCATTAACTTGGAACTTTAGCAAGGCATTTAGCAAGGTCTCTCAATATTCTGTGGTCAAGAAGAAAAATACAGGCTGGAAGATCGTATGATTAATATGATTCATAGCTGACTGAAGCAACATACGCCAAAAGGTGCTAATTAATGGACTGATTTTTTTTTTTTTTTTTTTGAGTTGGAGTCTCACTCTGTCGCCCAGACTGGAGTGCAGTGGTCGCTCCCGGCCACCACAGCCTCAACCTGCTGGGCTCCGGCGATCCTTCCACCTCAGCCTTCCAAGTAGCAGGAACTACAGGCGTGTGCTACCACGCCTGGCTAATTTTTGATTTGTTGTAGAGATGAGGTCTCACCAAATTGCCCAGGCGGGTCTCGAACCCTCAGGCTCAGGCAATCCACTCACCTCGGCCTCCCAAAGTGCGGGATTACAGGCTGAGCCACCGAGCCCGGCCCAATGGACTGATATTAAACTGAAGGAGCCCTCCAGATGTTCTACAGCATTTTGCCCTTTGCCCAATGCTGCCTGACATCTATTACCAAATGTATGGGTAAGATCCAAGTGCATTGCGGCACAGAATCCGAACCCAGGAAATTAAAACGGTTTGAACTAATGGGCCAAAGCCAATGAGATAAAGTTTAAGCAGGATAATATGAAGTTCTGTACTTTGGTCCAAAAAGATCTTCCACGTCTCAAGAATGGGATACATAAAATTTTGTTAAATGGATAACAGCATTTGGGTATAGCAGCTTAAACAAGTCCACTAAATGTTAGGCAGCATTATAAGAAGTAGATATCTATTGGGCAGTAGAAAGAACATTGGATCTGGCATTAGAAAACTGGGTCAGATCCCAGTTTTGGCACTTGGACTCTTATACTCTTTGATCCTTACTTTCTTATCAGGGTTGTTGTAAAGTTAAAAGGAGTTAATGTGTCTTTTGAGTTAACACATTTAAGTTCCAAAGACTTGTGCTCAATAAATATGACCTATAAAAGTTGCCATTCACAATAAAATAGGTGGATGTGTCATACCATTTTGTCCTAGAAAAGATGGCACTTGGAATGCGTTTCAGGGGCTACGTTTGCAAGCAAACAGGAGCTACTTTTAAAGACAGTGACCAGGATGGATGAGCGACTTAAAAGAGAACATGAAGAACTGCTACAGGAACTGGGGATAACTGACTTGAAGAATAGTGGAATCAAGGAGTCCATATCCACCTTCAAACATCTGATGGTGTATTGCATGGCCTCCTGGAGAGCTCCAAAGTGGCAGAGCTAATACTGAAGGATGAAAAATACACGAATGTGGGCCAGGGCGACCACTTGGTGGGGATGTTGTGATCGATTTCAGCATAAGTGGATGATAGGTCTTTAACACAATAGTCTGATTGTCATATTCCTAGGACACGTTTCATGAAGTGGATCCTTCTAAGTTCTGTCTCAAAGTAATCCCGGATTTCCACTATCTTGAATTGGGCTGGCTTCTTGCCTTAAAATATCACCTTCCCTCCAACTCTAGGCTAGACCTCTTCTTTCTCCAGTCTGCCTTCCTTCTTCCACCAGTTTACTCTTGCTCACTACTTTGTTTAGGAATTTCTGGTCACCTTAACATGCCATCTTCTCCCAAGCTATCCAAACTTCCTGTTGGCTGAAGTAAGAAGGTAATGTGGGAATTAAGAATCAGCATTTGAGAGTTCCAGAATTGGAGCTGTGGATGAAGAAATGGGGTGGGTGCTTCAGACAAAACTCTTACTGGTAATGAAGCATATTGGATAGAAAGTAGAGACTAAAGAAAGGCCTCTTGCCTTGAGCCTGTTGGCCTACTACAAGAACTCAAAAGTTCAACAGATGACTTCCTCTGTCTTCTGGAAGTAAAATGAATCCTGAGCAGGTGGTTTAGCACCTCCAGTCTGCTCCAGATCAAGATAGAGAAAGTGCCTGGGGCAACCAGAGAGGTTGTCTGCCTTCTGCCGGGCCTGAGTTAGCCAACTCCCCTCCTGTTTGACCCCAGGGAATCATTTTTACTTTTTTACAGCCAAGTATGGGGGGGGGCGGTGGCGGGGAAACTGGCTGCGCGCCGGTTGCCAGGGACGCGGCTGCCAGCTTGGCGGGGTTGGGGTGAAAGAGGACGCTGGGGGGAAGGGGGAAGACTCCGTGGCTTCTAACTGGCTGGAGCCCGAGTTCTCATTTGCATAACATTCTATGACGGCTTTTGATTGGCTGAAGTAAGAGGGGCGGTGGTGGGGTGATTCCAAGGGCCCGGAGCTCTGGCCCGCGGACCTTTCGTTCTGGAGTAACCCCGGTGGGTGTGAGTTGTTGCGCGGACCCGGGGGACCTGGGAGGCCCGGTTTGGGAAGTTTTGCAGGCAGGTGTATGAGCCATCTTTCTCTGACAGTGTTTAAGAAACGTGCACAAACAGCGGCTGGGGTTCAGAAACTGGAGGATGAAGGGTGACCTCCAGACCAGACAGAAGGAAGCAGATGGGGGAGGGGTGGAGGCCAACAGGAAGGAGTTAGGGGCTTTCTTTCACGCTGAGCTTTTTTGCTGGGTGGGATCTCTTCGCTAGATTACTTGGATTTCCGTTTTCCATGAGTTATTATCACACTCTCTTGGAACAAGGAAGAAGAGAAAAAGAGGCAAGATTCTGGCATTTGATAGCTTAAATCTAAATACTGGGTTTTCATCCGGGTGCATACGTACTTAAAATATCAAAAGGGTCTGGGATGGAGGACAAAATATATTTTAATTTATGAGAAGATCAGCTACTGGAAATTGTATATTTGTTTTGCTTGAGTTTTCCTCTTGCAGTACTCTTTGAATCTCCCTAGACATAAGAGTTTAAAACCAGCCTAGACTATTTTATACTCTTGACTGCTTAAGCACTGGGGGGAAGGGTCTGTGGCTCATCATAGCCCATTTCCACATTTTTAAGGTTTCTGAGTTCACACAAACACCTCTGGACTATGAGGCCCTATACTAATTACAATTAACCTTTGTTAAAAAAAAAAAAAGACCTTGCAATTTACATAGTAATTTTTACTTCCATTATCTTATTTAGCCTTAACCAAAATCCTTGGCACAGCCCCTTGATAATAAACTGAGACTGGAAAAGTTGCAAAGTCTACGTGTGTAAATAGGGAAGGTGAGATTATTTTAATACTTCAAATTGATATAGAGCGCTTTTTTCCCCTCCACATTTTTCTTATTATTGATCTTCCCCCAAACCCTTCTAGATAGGTTGAGCAGGTAACATTATCTTAGTTTTACAGATAAGAAAATATTGTCAATGATCTAGAGCTAATAGTCCTGGGGTGGGGGCTCTGGGCTGTGTCTCCAGTGGTCTGTTCTGTTGCCAATTTGTCAGTCCTTGTGGCACCAAGTCAGCTTTTCACTCAAAAGACAATCAGGAAGCTGGTTTGCCATGGAAAATATTAAGTGTAGATCTTAAGGTGAAAAAAAAGAGGAAGAGAAAGCAACCCCTTTGTTATGTGCTTCTCCCTTCTTTTGGCACTTTTTGTCCTGAGGGAAAACACTGTACTAACGGCACCCCGAAAGATTTAGAGAAAATAAATTTAAAATGAGAAGTTTGAGTGTTGCTGGACACAATTGTCTGCAGAACTATCAGAGAAGATTGGTGGATGAGAAGCATGGTAAGGACAGTGAGATGGGAAAAATAAAATGGGCTGTGGTTTGCAAGTCCCAAAGTGAAATTTAGGGTGCAAGGCTCTTAAAAGTTAAATCCAGCTATTTGCTACATAGCGTAGGCCCTATTAAATGACCCTGTGCTTTAAGAACTGTCTTTTGAAAGGAACACTTCACACATACACCCTCAAATATAATTACTGGACACATCCCCCACTTTTCTGTTAAATGATGAAAGACACCCAACACCAGGTCTAACTACTGTCAACCCCTCCTGGCCTCTCGGCAGCCAAAAGGCCACATGGCCCAGGCTCTTTAGCATCACAGCATAGCTGACTCGGACAAAAGTCAAGAACTTGGCTACTTCTTCCCATTGCCACGTTTGATCCCTTAAAAAAATCTGCACATCCAGTGGTAGGATTCTCTTCATCCCTGGCAGCAGTTGTTATAGGAAAGACTGGCAAAGACCCCGCCTGATGGAAGGCAAAAGTCCCTAAAGCTCCCCGTGGGTCCCTCCTCTCCTCGCGCCCCTCCTCCCCACGCAGCGGGCCAAGGCCAGGGCCACAGCGGGAGCACTGCGTGTCCACGTGCACCCAGCATGCCTGACCACCCTTCTTACGTAAGAGTCCGGGGATGGAGTTGCGGCTGCTGCCCGGACCCTCTTCCCCGACGGCTAATAATAAACCCGGGCTGTTGTTTCCGGGCCGCGGCCACTCTAGATTCGGGGTTGAGGGGCTCATTTTGCAACCAGGGCACGTGCGTTCTGGTCATCCCGCTCGGGGAGCGCGCGCAGAGCCCGCCCAGCCCCCACACACCAGCCCTCCTTCCAGCCAGTCGAAACGCTGGCGCCTTCTTCACCCGCGCGGGGCCTGACTCTCCCCCCCCGCCGGCCTGCCCTGGGCTTGGCACCGGAAAGGCGCGGCTGCTCCGTCCCTCCTCCGCCCTGCCCTGCCCTGCCCTGCCCTGCCCTGGCCTGCCCCGGCGCCCTCCCTCAGCCCGGGTATCAGGCGAGAGGCGGAGCTGGCGCGGCGCGCCCCGCCCCCACTGTAGAAAGGGCCGGGCGAGTGTTACTCGCGGTCATCCCTGCTCGGGCCTTTTATCTCGGTGCTGCCGGGGGAGGAGGGAGGAGGAGACACCGGGGGTGGCCCACAACGCCGGCGACACCTTTCCTGGACTATAAATTGAGCACCTGGGATGGGTAGGGGGCCGACACCTCCACCGCCGCCCTCAGTCACAGTCCGGCTACTGACCGCAGCAGCGCCCTTGGGCAGCAGCCGCTGGCAGCGGGAACACTGACCTGCTAAGGAGCAGAGGAATTTCAAGGCGCAAGAGGAGGTGGGTGCCCCCGCCCCATCGCTCCCGGGCCAGCGTGGTTGCTTGAGCTGAGGTTTTCCGGAGAAAGAAGTTGGGGGGGGGGGTTCTTCCCTCCGCGCGGCCCTCGGCTGGCTAGGGAGGTGGGACCGCCCGGCCGCGGGGAGCCACCCAGGCATCGTCCCGAGCAGTAGCCGGGGAGGGTGGTGCGCGTGGGCTGGGCCACCAGACATCCTAGCCGGGGGAATAATCTAATCTGTTCTTTCGTGTCTCGACCAGGCCAGGGCTCAACCCGACCACCCTCCGCCATCGCGAGCTTCCGGCCGCCAAAACCGGGGAAAGCCGCGCTTCTCGCAGGGCCAGGCTGCCAGCGAGACGAGAGTTGGAAAGAGCGGAGGAGGAGCCGGGAATCCCGCCGCCCCAGCCGTAGCCAGGCCCCAGGCGCGGGCCTCCGTGAGCGCGTGAAGGCGAGCACCCCTCCGCTCCGACCGATCACCCGCGTGCCCCTGCACTCCGGCGCCCGCGCAGCCACCATGATGCAAATCTGCGACACCTACAACCAGAAGCACTCGCTCTTTAACGCCATGAATCGCTTCATCGGCGCCGTGAACAACATGGACCAGACGGTGATGGTGCCTAGCTTGCTGCGCGACGTGCCCCTGGCTGAGCCTGAGTTAGACAACGACGTCGGCGTGGAGGTAGGCGGCAGTGGCGGCTGCCTGGAGGAGCGCACGCCCCCGGCCCCTGGCCCGGGCAGCGCCAATGGCAGTTTCTTCGCGCCCTCCCGGGACATGTACAGCCACTACATGTTGCTCAAGTCTATCCGCAACGACATCGAGTGGGGGGTCCTGCACCAGCCGCCGCCGCCGGCGGGGAGCGAGGAGGGCAACGCCTGGAAGTCCAAGGACATCCTGGTGAACCTGAGCCAGTTGGAGGGTGCGGACGCCGGTGAGGAAGACCTGGAGCAGCAGTTCCACTACCACCTGCGCGGGCTTCACACTGTGCTCTCGAAACTCACGCGCAAAGCCAACATCCTCACCAACAGATACAAGCAGGAGATCGGCTTCGGCAATTGGGGCCACTGAGGCGGGGCGCCCGCGGCTGCCCAGCACCCTTTCGGCCCCGTCTCTTACCATCTCTCCTTCCTCAAAGCTATTTTCTTTCTGGCTGTGGGTCGCGAAGGGCAAACTTTAAAGTTGGGGGGCTGCGTATTACAGGGGGCGCAGTGGGGCTGTGTGAAGGAGGGGCCTCGCGTGTGAGAGAAAAGTGGTGGCGGGAGAGGGGGGTTCAAGGACCTCCCGGGAGGGGGCCTGCATTCTGTGTTGGTGGGAATGGAACTGGGCTGACGGCCTGCATTCAGCCTGTGCCTTTCCTGGGGTTTCTTTTCTGTTCTTTCCGGAGGAGTAGATCCCAAGAAGGGGCCATGCCAGGGCGCGGCGCTGGGTTGCCACACTTGGGAGAGCAGCCCAGAGCAGGGTGCTGGGGAAGGCGGGGCGCAACGCCTCCCCCCACC